TTATCTAATGATTGAATTGTGTTGTTTATATATTTATATAATTAGTACTTTTGTTATTATTTTTTATCATTATTTAATTATTGTTCTTTATTTATATTTTCTTTATTCTATTAATCATATTTCTTCATTTAACTATAACTTCTTTTATTATTTCTAATTCACTCATTAGTATTCTTTTATTTTATTGTAACAAATACTTTTTTTATTATCATTTAAATTTCATTCTTTTCATTTATTAAAACTTGTTTATATGTGTATTCTTTTATGTATTCTTTTATTATTTCTTTTTGTGTTTTTTATTACTCTTCTTATTTTATTATTATTCTTTGTTTCTTCTTTCTTTTCTTATTCATTAACTAAAATACTTATTTATCCTTTTGATATTTCTTAAATTTATTTCTTACTTATACTTTTAATTTATTCTTTTTATTTATATGTTATTTTATTTATTTTCTTTCTTTTATTTCTGATTTTATGTTAAATTATACTTTTATTATATCTACTTCTATTCCCTCTATTTTATCTTTAAATCGATTATTACTCATTATTTTAATATGATTATTCATTTCATTACAAATATCTTCATCAATTTCCTACTTTCTTCTTATTCTCTTCTTTCTTTTATTCTTCTTTATATCTTTCTCTATCATCTCTTCTTTTTATTTTTCTCTTCTTCTTTTTATTTTATATCTTAAAAGTACATTATGTTCTTTTTCTGATTATTCATTTCTCTTTATATTTTTCTACTTATATTTATTATTTCTTCTTTTTTTCCTTTCTCTTCTTATTTTTATTATTATTTATTTCTCTCCTTTTTATCTTTTCTTCTTTATTCTATCTTCTTTGTATTATCCTTCTTTTATTTCTTTTCTCTCTTTCTTTTATTCTCTTCTTTTATATTCTCTTATGAATAACTGATATGATAATAATAATTGATAATGGTATATCTGTTATTTATTATTAATTTTGATTTGTATAATTTTCTTTATTTCAAAACAAGTTAAATTAATAGATTAAAACGATTAAAACTAACTCAATCAATAGTATTAATATTTTAATTATTCATTAATGAATTGGTATGAATGTAAAAAGATTAATGTATTATATAATTCATTATGATTTAATGATAAATGATTTAATGGTTTAATTGAAATGAAGTATAGAAATAAAGAAGTAATTGATGATCAATTTATTTAATAGAGAGTGAATGATGTAATCTCATCTGTGAAATATGAAATATAAAAATCAAATTCCACTCTTTCCTTATTTTTTATCTTTTCTTTTGATTTTTATTTCTTATTCTTTTATTCTTTTTCTTATTCTCTTTTATTTCTTTACTTCTTTTATCTTTTCTTATTCTTTTTTCTTTTTATTATTCTCTTATTTCCCTTTATTTATCTTTCTTATTTATTGTTCTTCTTTTATTTCTTTATTTTACTTCTTTATTTTATTTTGTTATTCTTTTATTTTACTTCATATTTATCTTTAATAGTAATTCTTTTCACCATTTCTTCTTATTTTATTTCTTTTTATTTATCAACTTCTTTTATTATTTTTCCTTCTTTTTCTTTATTTCTTCTCTCTTTCTATTCTTTCTTTATATTTCAAATGAAATCAAGAATAAAAAATAAGAAGAAAAATAAAAAAAAAAGAAAAATCAAAAAAACAAGAAATTTCTATTTCATTTTATTCAAATAAGAATTACATCCATCAATTAGTAATGAATAAATTGAACATGAAACATTCAATACAAATACCATCATGAACATTAGAATATATTAATATAAGAAACATGAACAATAATTAATAAATTAAATAGGATAAGTTTTAGTATTAATACATAAAGAAATATAAAAGGAAGATAGAATAAGAACAAATTTAGGGAATAAGAATAAAGAATAAAATAAATAAAGATAGTAGTAAAAGAAATAGAAATACTATAAAAATAATAAAATAAGTTTACTTACAAAGAGAAAATTAAGGAATTAAACAGAGAATAAATAAGAGAAATATTGAATTATCATGTATAGAATTATAAAATAGTAAAATTTATAAGAAAGAATAAATATAAGAAAAAGATATAGACATAAAAGAAAGAAGAGATTCAAAGAAAAGAAAAGACATTGAATAAAAAATTAATGAAAGTTAGTATATCTTATTTATCTTATTTATTTATTTTTATTACTTCTTGTATTTCAACAAATAAATTGAATGTATTAATTATTTTAATTCATTATCAATTTGTGTATTATTATTATTATTTCTTCTTTATTTCTTCTATTGACTTCAATCTTATTTTCTTTCTTTATTTTAAATGGTTTATTATTACTTATTTATATTAATTAATATCTTCTATTTTAATATCAAATGTATTAATCTTACTATTTCTTCATCTTTAAGTTAATATCATAATTTTAATTGTAATAATTTAAATGAAAAGAATTATATAATGATAGAAATTATTCTTCTCTTTCTCATTATTTCATTTATTTTAAGATGATCTCATTCATATGAAGTGAAATTCTTATGTTAAAATCATATCTCATCAATAAAAATGAAGTGAGAATAATAGTATATTTTAATTTTAGAAATCATCTTGAAATGATGATATTTCATCAGTTACAACAACATTGAATTTATTCACTAATTGTGTTTCAGATGAAACAGATATAATGTGATTTAACTCTTCTTTGTTGTATAATTTTAAATTAAATAAATTAACAAACAAGAAATATAAATGATATAATAAATTAATTACATCAGATTCAATTGTGATTCAACAATGAATTGAAATAATAATGTATCATTCTCTTATTTTTGAATGATTAACTCATTCTCATTTATCATCATTAATGATAAATAAGAAATGATAAATTATTAATTGTTTGTTCATTTATTTGTATTTCATTTCTTCTTTCTCTTTATTATTCTCTTCTTTCATTAAAAACATGAAATAAAATAAATTTGATAATCTCATTATTTCAGAATTAAATGATTACATTACAATATAATTATGAAAGAACGAAAAGAAGAGCAGAAATGGCATATCTTAAAGAACATTATCCACAAAATATATTTCAATTTCATAAAATAGGTATAAAATTTCAAACCATCAAGAAGAACAAAACGAGATAGTTGTTGAACCTGATGTACACTTTCAACAAGATGGGAAAGAATACCTTGTTTTCTTCAATAACATTTCAGTGAAATACATAATATTTTAAATCAATGATTAGAAAATGAACTATCAGAACATTGGTTTATTATTCCTGATATCCTTAAAAGTAATTCAAAACAAATTGCAGAAAAAGGAGAACCACATGGATTTTTAAGAAATTTGGCTACTAATTTAATTCCAATTTATGGACAATATCAAGGGTATCGTTGTTGGTGTAATATTTTAGCAAGAAAGTTATCTTCAAAATCATCAGAAGATGAAAAGAGAATATTTCATTTGGCATTTCATGTATATAAAACAAAAGAATTAATTGAAAAATATGGAAATGAAATAAAAACAGGTAAAATATGTGGTATTTGTATTGAAAAGAATTTTAATGGGAATAGTGATTATATTATAGATTATGATGATGGTTTTTATCAAGACATAGAATTAAAATTTATGAATTAATGTCTTCATATAAAAGTTTATATTATAAATTCAAAACATTAATTGATATATTGTATGAAGCTGAGTGAGAGATTCAACCAACATTAAATGAATGGAAAAGAGTAGAATTTTGTTTTGTTATTAATAAAGTGAATTATTATTTTACAAGACAAGAACAACTTTTAAGTGATAAATCATTTGAAGAACTTAAATTAATGACAATTCTTAGGAAAATGATTAATCAATTTGTAATTAAATACATACATTTATATTTAACAAATACAGAAACTATTCTTGGAATTACATTAACTTAACATAAAATATACTTCATTATTTATTGATTCAAATGTTAATGAATTTTATAAAAAGATTATAAAAAGATTAAATACAGAAGCACAAATTCTTATAAATAAATATTCATAGATTGAATTCACAATAGAAAGGATTAAAGAAATACCAGAGAGTTTAAAACATGATAACAATCAAGATTTATTAGATAAATTGAAAATAGAAATAAGTGAATTAAAAATTAAACTAAAAAATTATGGGGAGATGCAGTAATTGAAGTTGGTAAAGTAGTAATAAAGAAAGTAGATGATGTATCAGATGTTGCTGTTTCAATTTTTGATATTTATTCATTAATACAACAATTTAAAATAAAAGATATATTAGATTATATGTTAACACAAAATAAAATAACAAACAACTCACAACAAGGAGGTAATGATAATCATCCAACAAACAATACAAATAAACAAAATAATTCATCTAAAATATCTTTATATAATAATAATACACCACTTGGAAGAACAATAAAAACTATAAACATTAATCCAGAACAATTAGATAAACTCCATTCATCATTTAATAATATTGTTGATGCACAAACTATAACAAATAAAATTGAATTGTATAAAAACAAATGATTGGATTTGAAAAAGTTCAAGAAATATCAAATGATTTTATTAATTTACTTAAAGTTAAAATAATATTGAAAAGAGAATGACCATTTGATGAGATTGATATTAATGAATGTTTATGAATTATTGTTACAGAAGATAACAAATATATTGTTAATCCAAGAACTAGTTCTGAATGTAAAATTAATCATAAAATATATAAAATAGAAAAAGTATTAAATTATAATGAAGAATATGAAAAATAATAATCAAAATGATAATTTGAATTTATTTTAATGATTTTATGGTTTTATTTCAATAATTTCAAATAAATAAAAATGAAAACATGAATAATTATAACTATTTTATACATTATTTTAATGTATAATTTGAATATATAATTAACAAATAATTAATACTTATTATATTTATAATGACATCAATTAAATATTATAAAATATTCATTTTTATTTTAATTAAAATGAATATAACAAATAAAATAAGAGAGTGTTATATTTATCTTTTTTATTTCATATTTATTAAACCAAAATTATATTTTAAATTAAACCTTCTTCAATTAGAGAATTAATGTGATTATTCCAATTATTATCATGACTAGGTTTACTGTCATGCTTGGTGTTCCATCATCTGTTGGTGGATAAACACAAACATCTTCAATGCATTTATTATTATTATAATCAAATTTATATCCTTCATCACAATATGATAGTACACATTTTGTACTCCATTCTCCATTATCTCCACATTCATATCCTCCATGTCCATGTTCTATATTAATTTCTTTATCACATTTTTCATCTCTTTTAACTAATCTTTTATTCTTTGGATTACATTTTGTTTGATATTTCTCTATTATCTTCTTTGTTTCTTCTTCAAATTCTTCTATTGTTTCATCTAGTATATCATATGGATATATATTCACTCTTTCATCTATCATATCAGTTAAGAATTCTCTAGGAATACTTTCATCATAATTATAATTATGTCTAAATGTTTCTCTAACACTTATTCCAACTTTATATCCATATTGTGTAAATATATTATCTTCATCCATCTCATTTAAATCAATAACACTGGTTGGTGATAATCCTACTTCAAATTCTTCATCTTTACCATTAGGATCACCATCAAATCCAACAAGAATAGCTCCTCCCCATTCTTTTAATCCTTTTGTAACAAGTGAACAACCAGAATAACAAAATGAATCTGTATAAACTACTATTTCTGTTGGTTTTCTTGGGTTTTTCATTAATTTCTTTGCTTCCCAATTTTCAGTTGATGGTTGTGAAACTTTATGTTCAACATCACCATATTTAATAATCTTTGGTTTTGTATACCATTCTCCAAGTGTTTGTGGATTAATTTCTTTTTCTCTTACCTCACATGTTTCTGGGTCATACAAAATTGTGCCCATTCCTGCTTTCATTAAATATTCGGTAAAATCTGATATTCTTCCTGACTCTATTTCATTAACATCATCATATGGTGCAAGTATTTTCTGAACCCATTGTGAATAATCATAATCACCTCCTCCATTCTTTGGGAATATTACTTGAATAGGATAATTATTAGAATCAAATAAATCAATACATTCTGTAATTGTATCTTCATATGATTCAACATATGCATCTTCAGGGTCAAATGCTGTAATGACAAATGTATTAATTTTATTATCTGATAATGAGCAATATACATTATTATCATCTGATATATATCTTTCAATTATTCCTTGTTTTGTTTTCATTCTTTTGCCAATTTCTTTTCTTGATTTTATTTCTTCTGGTGTTAATTTTGGTTTAATTCCTTGTTTAACTTCTTCTCCTTGAAGTAATTCTTTAAGTGATTTATTAGGTGTTGATAGCTTGAATATAGAATAGTTAATTGTGACACTTTCTTCATTTTCCCATGTAATACTTATTGGTGTATTTAAATATTCTTTTGATAATGGTGTGTCACTCAATGGCCCAAATGAAATTGCTGATCTTGCTTCTGTAAATTGTGCATGTGGACATTTTAAAGCAGAGTATTTCTTTCCAAATTCACGAATAATATTAAATGGATCTTCTCCATTTATTGTTTTAACTGCTACATTTTCATTATTAACTATTCCTTCTGGAACATCAATAGGAATATCTTCAATTTCGTTTCTAGGAGTTAAATACATTTTCTTATCATTATCAATATTTATTGTAAATGGAAGGAAATAAAAGAAATTAGTTAATTCTGAATTTGGTTTATTCAGATCTTCATCTACACTAAAACCTAAATGTCCATCTCTTGTTGAAATAATAAGACTTTGTATTTGAGAATAGAAATCATACATACTTGTTGTTTTTGTGTTTATTTTATTTAATTGTTCATCAATATCCACTTTTTCATAATAATTATTTGAAAATGATGGTTGTGGTGGATTCTTTAATATATCTTTAAACACATATGCTTCTAAATAATGTTTTAATCCTGTGATAATATCATTATTTTCTTTTTCTGTTGTTTCAATTGATTCAATACATTCAAATGCACTGTCTACTGTATCTATTTCATTTGTAGTATATTCACTACACTGTTTTGATAATGAGAAAGTAATAAATAGAAGTAACAAATTGATCATTTTAATGAATATATCTTTCTTAGTTTATGTTTAAATACTCATCTATCTTTTATTTCCTTTATTTATTATTTATTATCATTAAATTATTACCCTCACTTAATTCCTCTTTCTTTTATTTTCCTATCGCGTTCATTTTCTTTTTTTGTTAACATTACATTTGATATATTTTCATGTTTTTTGTTCTTAATTTAAATCAAACATCATTCATTATTTCAAATATTTTCAAATATAAATTAATTCTTACCTGTTATCACATTGATTTAATTTATTATTTTATCGAATGGTAAATTAGAAATATTTATAAAATAAAATTACATATTTATATTTACCCCCTTTTTATTTATTTCTTGTTATTGTTAAAATTGTATGAAATGTTTTATAATTAAATATTCTTTTTTTAATTTAAATTCAATTTTCTCTATATAATATTTAAGTATATTAATTAATTATTTCTTTATTTGTATTTAATAAATTGAATGATAATAATTTCTTGAAATAATTAATTTCAATATATTGATATGTTGTTTTATCATTGTTATTTATTTATATTTATTTAATTATTTTTGATTTATGATTATTATGTTATTTATTTGATTATTTATTATTCATTTTATCATTTATTTGTTATCAATGAATGAATAAAACATTATGAATAAATTAATAAAATAAATATTATTAATTCATTATGAAATGATAGTTAAATATCATATTATGAAATTAAATAGATAAATTAAAATTAAAATAACATAGAATTCAATAATATTATGTTGTATTATATTATATAATTCAATTTTAAATTATAATATCATAATTTAATTAAATTCATTTATTATCAATTATATTATCATTTATTTTATGTTTGAATTTTGATTATCATTTATTTTATTAGTATTTTATTATTAAAATTACATATTAAACATTCTTTATCATTTATATATTTAATTTTATTTCTTTTGTTTATTTATT